AACACACAGATGTATCATCTCTCAGTCACCAGCATTCAAAGTTTAGTGAAAGTCTGGATAATCTGATATATTAACTTCTTCCTCTACTCTCTACATTGCAAGCAACAGAAAATAAAGCCTTGGGAGTTTGTCACAATATGTCTTTGTGAAAGCTGTGCATGAAGCAAAGCTCTGTGCTGCTGCCAGTCCCCAAGTCATCATGACAAATGGCACATGGATCCAAATATTCTTTGCTTCAATTGAAAGGAAATTTTTATCAGTCTTAAGCATTCTCAGCTCAGAATTGCTTTGGATTAGGTAATCAAATTGCAGTGAGTACCCTCAATGAGTGATGAATGTTATGGTTGATGCCCATTGACCCTATAGTTGAGACCTCGATTATGCTAATGTGGGAATACTTTTGTTCCATGCAAAAGGTGATAAAAGAATGGAAAATCTGTTGTCTGAAGTAGCCTCATCTCCAGCTGTGGGTATGTGGAACTTGACACAATAGAGAAGGAATTCACGAATACATTTTTACATCCCAAATTCTGGGCTAACCTGTGATTGCCACTCCTGCACAGGTGAGAGCAGCCTAAAGTTACTTTGTTCTCCCTGAGCACCTTTTATTGCCACCTGGGACCATTAGTGCAAAGAAAATCCCTAATCATTCTTCTCTTCCAGGCATAATAAACTTGTCCTAACCTAAAATCTCTGCAGCTACTTTCTGACAGACAAAATTCTTTGCACAGGAGTCCTCAGGGAGTAGACCCAGTAGATTTAAAATGCTTATGAGAAATATTTAAGATGTATTTTGTGTATTTAGGAAGAGCAGTATATCAACTGAGATCCATTGCATAAAGGTCCAGGAAGGGTTGCTTTCCAAAGGCTCAAAACCTTAGTGTTCACCTTATATAATGGGATGTAGTTGCAGGGAGATCCAGGGGAATCATGTCCATGAATCCTTCTGCTCAAACTTTAGAGCAAAAAGAGAGTTCTTTTCTGATATTTACTTGTCAAGAATAGGATTAATTATCCAGGCTGAGGATTCTCTGTATGGACTTCATTGGCATTTTGATGAAAATTCATATATAACTGTCACAAGTTGGTAGGTCTTCTCAATACACCAAAATTCTTATCAGTGTAGAAATTGCATGAACTGAAGCATTTTGATGAATATATAAGAAGGAAAGAATGCACCAAATATGACAAAATATTAGCCTTTGATGCTTCTTATTTCACTTCTTTCTCTTATTTTCTGTCTGACCTCAGAGACAAGACACAGCTGAGAGTTCTCTTTTTCCAAAGAATAGTAGAGACCAGGCTGGGATTAAGAGAGATCCTCCTAATAGGAGGAATATCATCTGTCACTCCAATCTGAAACAACAGTGAAAATGAAAATCAACATCCTATAAGCAATGTTTTCTATGATGAGTGGGTTTATCTTCATATTGATTCATGTACTTAAAGCTCTGGCACGACAACCACAGGCAGGGCATTATCTATGAAGTTTGCTGGATTTCAATGTTCACTTCTCTCATTGAATGACTAGATTTTGGCTGCAATATCCTTCTGGATGTATTTCAAGACCTGTTTTCAATGGTTTTGGCAGATGGCTGTATAAGCTCCAAGTCCCATGATTATGATTCATTTCTGTGTGAATAATTTAGGTTATCAAGTTTGATTATATCTCTTTGTGACTTTACACTATTCACGTGTACATTGAGTGCATTCAGAGCCAGGACTGTGCTCACCCAAATACCTTTTTTGTGCTAAAGAACAAGAAACTACAAATGAACATTTTTCCCCCATAATTTCAAATTTTCATATTTAATATTTTTTCTTTCTTAATAGGTATTATATTCTTCTTCAGTTATACACCATAGTTGTTTTATTTCATTTAGCATCTAAATATTTCCTTTTTTTTTTCCCCAGAAAGGATTTTTGCGAGCATGTATATAAATACAGCTATTGCTTCATTTTGCCTTTCTGGGGTGTGGCATTTCATATATTAATACATGATAAGTTAACAAGTACTCAAAATATAATTAATCCTCAAAACCATGCTGCAATTGAACAATACCTGACAAGCATGCAAGCATAAATATTTTGGGAATGCCCACCTAAAAGATGAGGTAACCACAACTGATGTTCTCTTCTTAGCCTTCTCAGAAAACACTGGAGTAATAACTTAATCTTGTTCTTGAAATGCTTCTATGTACTCACACCTTGACTTCCCACAGGAGCACTTTCTAGTTAGCCTGAAGTGCTGGGAAGAATCCACAGGGTTGGGCGTTTGTGTGAGACACAGCAAGTTTAAAATACCCTTCATGGGCCCCTGAGTCACGTCAGTGTTCCTGCTCATTGCCTTTCCTTGTAAAACTGTTTCACGTTTTCAATATTTCCTGCTAAGGAGCATTTGGAAAAAAAGATAGTTTTTAATCACTTTCTCTTTTCTTCCCACTAGCTGACCTCCTTTGAAAAAAAGATATTTTTTAATCACTTTGTCTTTTCTTCCCACTAGCTGACCTCCTTCACGTCTAAGGTTTGGATTTTGATGCAACTTTCAGCCATCTCACTCTTGGAAAGAACAGAAAAAGCAATGTTTGCCCAGGAATGGGAGTGTGTGTAGAAACCGCCCACAGCCAGCCCTGCTGCTCTGGGAATTCAGGGTGGGAATCAAGGCACTGACTTTTATGTGGGTCATGACTGAACTAGTGACCTCGACTAGTGACCCTCTGGAGTCTTTCTGACTACTTGTATATCCCAGTTCCACCTCCTGTAGAAACAGAAATATCAGATGTGCCATTGCAATCAGATTCCTCTTTAGATCATTGCCTACCTTCCCAAATGCCTGATTAGTTATGGAACACTTGTTAATTTCTGTGGAGAATGATTTCACTCTATCACACAAGCTTCAGTCCTTCTAGGTAATACTGTTGTATCAGACTAGATGGGACTGAACTGGAAAGGGTTGTTGGTCTAATCAGGCATGATGTGAAGCAATAGCAAGCAATTTTGAGTAAACAGGAGGACATATTTGAAAGCTGCTGTTTCCAGAGTCACACCACAGGACTGATAGAGCAGTTCAAAAAGGGCATAAACACTTACTCTCCCATCTGAGAAATGGGGTCAGTGGTACACACCTGAGTGTTTCGCAGGCAGAACTGCTCGGCTGCCTTGGTGGCAGTGAGGTTTGCCTGTGCTTTGATGGAGATGGCAAACAGCAAGTCAGAGCCAGCCATACATGGCTTTTCTATTTTGGCTGTCTTTGGTGTTTTCTTTTCATCAGGTGTGGAGTACAACCAGCACATTAGTCTGATGAACACAAGCAATTTCCTCTGGGGTCTGTTGAGTTAACCTATCTGTAAAACAGGGCGAGGTGGCTGATGGTCTGAAGTCCAGGCAAAGCTGATGCAGCCAAGGCATTCAGCTCTCATGAGATGTGAGGGCAGGCTGCTACATGAAAGGATGTATGTGAGAGGTTTTATCTGAGGAACTCATATGTAGCTGGTTGTGTTCCTTCCTATCCAGGTCTATTGTAATGCAGTCTTCAAATTAAGGTTATGAAAGGAAAGCTGTCTGTATGTAAGTTCTGGCTGACAGAAGAACTTCATGAAAATTTAATCTGGATTGGGGAGGACAGGAACTATGCATAGGAACAACATTTTTCTGTCAGATTTATTAGTTTATAGTATATGTTACCAGGCAAGAAGCAATTTACAAGTGTCAGCAAGGGTTCAATTGCTTTCTTATATATCCCTGAAAGCCCTACTAAAAAATACCCAAAACCATCACAATCCTTTAAAGGAGGTAAGTGTTACAAAGTTTTAAGGATGCCCTAAGCTTTTACAAGGTTGAACATTCAAAATTAAGGCTCTAAGGTAAAATAGTAAGATCTTTGTTAATTATAGAAAATCACAGGACGAATATCCATCAGACTTTGACTTTGCTCATGACTTCATTAGTCTTCATTCTTCTCTAACTGTATTATCCAAGGCAGGCTTTCTCCTTACTAGGCCTGGAGAGATTATTCCCAAAGAGGGCAAGGTTGTCCCTACAGAGAATTCTTGCATGTTGAAAAAATGGGGGCATAGGTGGGTTGTGGGGCTTTGTATCTGTTTGTGAGCATATGGAGATGAGATGTTCAGGAGATCTTCAACCAGAGGAAGAATTTTTCTAAGTCCTGCTTACCATAGACAGAGCCAGTTCCCATTCCCTTGGTTTGGCCCAAGTTCTAGAAAAGGGGAAAGGAAAAAGGGGTACAATGCCTCAGCAACCCCTTGAAGAGATTATATGGAAGTACACGAGACAGAGCATCTCTGTTTTTACTGGAGAACCTTCAGCAAAGCTCAAATTTTGGTGAGGCAATAGTAGAGATAGAGCAAAAGAGAATGGTAGCTACAAGGCAGGGCTATGAAGTAGTAAAGTGAGAGGGGGAAGGCCAGAAAAGAAGCAAGATGATGAGGTCAAAGTTGGAAGAAAGAACTAGTTGTGTGACTGGGGAAAGGGGACTGAGGACATGGGAGAGGGTTGGGGGATGCCAGAGAAGCAAGAGTCATACTGCACAGTGATAGGGAAAGCAGAGAGAAGACATCAGGGTGGTGTAGAAGAGAACATGTGGGCTTCTCTTCTCTTACTTCCATAAGTTTGGAGTCAGAAGATTGTCAAAGTAAAAAAATAATTGTTTTCAAGACAAGTCTAAGTGAATGTCAGGGACAGGAAGCAGTTGGCTGTTTATGTGTACTTTTTTCTTCCAAACCTACCAATAAACCTGTTTTCAATTAAAAGAGACACATAAGGCTTTAGATGATTTTGCACGGCTCTGTAATACATACATGGTGGTCTCCTCTTAAATGAACACATCCACCACTGTACTGCTCCAATGCTAAATTTGCCTGAAATCCTCTTATGGTGGTTAATTGCTAATTTGGACCTTGCTACTCACACACTCCCATGACAAGGATCACATTCCTAACAACAAAAGTAAAGGAAGGAAGGTAGTAACATGGTGTTAATTATGCAGTTGAATTTTACTTTTATTTTACAGCTTATGGTTTATTCTAGCTAACAGGCCTCTTCTAGTCAAAACAAAACAAGAATTCTCCCTCTGCTCTTCAGAGGGAGTGTTAAAATTCATTATCTCCATATATTCTAGCTGCCTGTGAATAAATATCCTTTTTCAATGCTTGCTTGTGATGGAAACTGTTCATCGTAGTTTGCAGGTACAGCTTCTGAACCTTCAGCTTCTCCCCGCTCTCTCCTTGGCTCTGATTTCTCTCCCATTCTCTTATGAGACTTGCTTTTTCTCAAATGCAATTTTTCTCTTTCTCGCCTCTCCTTCACACCTTCAGGTTGCTAAAAGGCAAGAAAAAAAAATAGCAGGGAATTAAAAGTGACTCTGACATGAACAGCAACAAAAAAAAAAGGCTCAGTATTCTATTTCACTAGTAATGTATAACATAATACTCCAGTCACCTACCTCAGCAAGATCAGCTTTACCATGATGGGCTCAAATTAAAGGCCTAAGCCAGTCACCCTAAAACTCAGCAAAAAAGCAACAAACATGCTTTGATTATACTCTGTATGATAGGAGGGTTAGCTGCCCAGCAGCCTTGAGGGGGAGAGCAGACAGGAGGAAAAAAGGGAAGGGCTCTGAGATTTCAGCCCAGACTCTGTATTTCTGTCCTTTCACATGATCCTTCTTTACATGCCTGAAGGCTGTTCAGTGCTAGCTGCGAAGACCTCACTGAAAGCAAGTGCTAAAGGTCCTGAAATGTTCTCAAAGACATATTTATAAGAGAAAACCAGTATGCAGAGAAGAAGGTGAATTGCCTTTCCTGCACATTTCACCTGTGTGATCATGGTGGTTTGAACTGCACCCACAGATTTCTGAATGAAAAGAAAAAAAAAACAATCGAAAAGCAAACGCATTTGGAGACACAAGTTTTAGTCCAAATTGCCTTTCAGATCTCTACCTCCTATTGCTCAGCTCTTTGAGATTCTCAAGTCCACATCTCCCAAACTTCAGTGATGACTGAGGGAATGACAACAATTTGGTCTACTTGAAAGACAGATGAAAATACAGCTCAGCACACCTCACTCTGGATTGTAGAAGGGTCATGGAATCTATGCTTTTAACTGGAACTGAATCCATATTTCATACATTATGCTCACTCTACCTACCATACAGTTACTACACACTCAGACTTTCTAGCCATAGACATTTTTGAGAAATTATAAACGATAAATGAGACAACCACTGGTGAGGCTTGGCACATGAGGTAATGTGAATTTCCAAATGAAGTAAATTGAGCAGTACCTGAAGGGGGAAAAGAAGATTAGAGAATTCATGTAAGATTTTAATAATGGCATAACAGTGCTGTTATCACCATAATTCTGCATATTCTTAGATGACTGGTCTTGCAAGGACTATAATTGTGGGTCTGATCATGTAATAATGCTGCTTTTTGAAAAGACTATTTTTCTCTTTTTTACTGCACAGAAGGTCTTCAGAGAGAGCTGAAAATGACTTTTCCATACACGCTGTCAGTGTCCACAAATTGAGAAAAATAATATACTCCCTTCTGTGGCTATTTGGTGCTAATGTCACATGTTATTCAAACACAGCTTTTTGAATGGGCTGACAATTTGATAGTGTTATTCTGATACACAAGAGTGAGTTAGGGTTTATTACCCTTGCTCCCATTGTATCATACAGCAGATATTATGTACCATAATAATAAACATCTGCTAAAGTGTCATAGACAAAATATTATTATTGGCTACTTCATCAACAGAAATCATACAAAAAATGCTCATTGCCTCAGGACAGAATGATGGGGAGAAGGATGAAATGGGGAGAGAATGCCCTGCTGCCTTTATGCCCTTACAGAGAAAATATGTTCAGCCACTTACAGCAATAGCTGCTACTGTAGCTGTGTGGTGACACTGCAGAAAGCTGATGGATGGAGTCCTTAAGGATAAAAGAGAAGCCTCTCAAACACTGCAGTGTCTGGCAGTCTTACAGGTAACACCATATAGGTTAAACCAGGTCAGCAGCAGTGACAAAGTGAGCTAGGTCTTATGGCAGAAGTGAAGCAAACCTGGTTTAATATTGCCATCTTTTGTTTTCACAGCCACAGAAACCTCTGAAAACGTTGACACAGCCAGTGCAGTATCTCATTTTGAGGATAAACATTTCTGAGTAAGCCTAGATGGTAACACTACTTCAAGAATCTGCACACTAATGATACAACTTTAACCTTGTTTGTGCTACTGTAGTAATCTGAGACCACATAATATGAGAAATTCCAATTCAAGTTTATTTCTGCATTTCCCCCAGCAAAGTCACAGCAATTACACAAGGCTAAAACTGGCTTGCTTGTTGGTTGTTTGGGCTTTTTTCTTCTGTAGTGGTCTTAAGTTGATTGTTACCTACCAAAGAAACTGAACGCTTGCTTTTGAGTTGCAATTGCTTTGCAAAGGACTCTGCAAATTCCTGAACAGAGTTTGATCTTGTCTCTGGGCATGAGCTGTCTGGTGAAGGTGTTCTGCTTGCCTTTCTGTGGCTGTGGTATTTGACATCTTGGTCTTCTTGAAATTCCTTGGAGCCCTTGAGGTGGCCTGAAGATGAACCTTTGGCAGAAGCATGAAGTCGTGTTGTGTTGAGGGAGGAAAGTGTGGCCTGAAAAACAAGAGGTCTTTGTTGAGTATTGATTAAAGCAGAGCAGACAAGGCAGAACTTTTCTGCCACAGAGACTCTCCAAACAGCGGTGCAGGCTGAAGGACTTTGCCCAGAATCCTGTATCATTCCTTTAATAAGCAGGAGAATCACACTGCCAAGAACTTGCTTTCTGGACGCAGCAACAGAATTTCCTTTATTGCTGTTTTTTAGTATCTAAGTTTTGGCAACCAAATGAGCATTTCAAATATAAAGTGTGCTGGATCCTCTCACTGACACTAAGAGGAGCTGCAACCCTTCATAACCTCAAAACCTCAGGCCTTGCATGTGCCTGCAGTTTCTAGGCAGGGAGCAAAGGCACAGCATTTTGTGACCAGATGAGTTAGATACAGGGTTTGATCCACGGGTGCTCCTGATCTTATCAGATGTTTGGGTTATTTTGAGTGTGACTTCAACCATTTCTAGCCCAGTTCTGTCAAATTTTCAGCATGACCTTCAAGCAGACAAGACACTTTGTGGTCCAGCTTTGAATTTTCTGCTGGTCTCTTGGGCACATTTGTCCTGAACTGATGAGGGAGCACTTTTAGGGCACTGAGGGACACATCCCTGCCAGAGAAGTAGTAGGAAACAGACTTCCTAAGACTACATTTGTAGGGCTGTGGTGGGGAAGGAGTAGACAGTTGTTTAGTTTCTGTTTTCCCAGGCCTGGCATGAAGATAAAAGCTATTGATCTGCATCAGCTGTGTTTAATTGAATGTCTGTAAAGGAGATTAAACTGACACAGAACTGCTGCATCCTGTGGAGTCATGTATTGGTGGATTTAGAAATAGATAAACCTGCAGAAGGGATGAGTGAGAAGGATATCACATAGAGACAGGGATGCCCTAAACCCTGCCAGCTGTTGATGCTTTTTTAGGATGAGAAGCTGAACACTGGTAAGATGCAGGTGGTGAAAATTGGGAGAGATGGTGATGCTGAGAAAAGGCTAGAAAAGAACTACTCACAGACTTGTATCTCTGAGTAGCAGGGATTTGTTTATTCAGCACTGGGCACAAGGGGGATCGTTCCACCAAACTTGTGCAACCAGGGATAAAAACTTCACAGTTTATATACATTAAATGCTCATACATATTCATTATTTCCAGGAATGGATGGTTATTATTACAATTAGTTCTCAGAAATCATTATCATATACTCCTCCTTCGTCTCCTCCCTCCTGGCATCAGTCCCATGGTCCTGGTGGTCGTTCGGTGGTCAGCACCTCCTCTTCCTCAGTACCCTTTGGACACCCTTACTGTGCAACCATTTACCCCTTTGTACAGTTTTGCATGCCTTGCTGACCTTGCCTCTATCTTGAACATTTTGTTTCTCCATTCCACACCATATGTGATCTTAGTTTTCCTCCTGCCTCCAAAGTTTGAGTCTAGTTAGTTCTACTGTCTTATAGATATGGAGCATCATTTTGCCAGCCAAGCCAAAACAACACCATTAGTGAAGCTTCTTGTCTGTGCTACGCAATCCTTGTTATTTTGCTAATTAAGCTGAAATAGTGCTATTAGTAAAGTTATCCTTTATGCTTCGGCTTTAACCATTCAATTCCTGCTTTCAGTCTACTTCTCGGTATCAATGGGAGGTACTGAAAATGATGCCCCTGCAGGTGTCAGGTAAGGGCACTCCAGGCACCCAGCTGCTGCATACATGTTTGAATGTACCTATGTTTTGTATAAGCCTGCTGCTAAGCCTTCAGCTACTAAATAAGCCTGAGAAGCTCTGCTGGCTTCAAGGGAGCTGTGATTGTTTATAACTTAAGGTTTATCCTACAGACCCTGAAATGCTTCCTAAGAAAATCCAGTAGAAAACCCTACACTCAGCGTAGGGTTTGTTGGGGAGGTGTGTGTGTGTGTGTGTGTGTGTGTGTGTGTGTGTGTGTTTTGTTTGTTTTGGTTTTCTGACAAACAGAGGAAAACTAAACCAACTTGGTATAGTGTTCATATGAATCTACAAACCTTGGACTGCAAGGGACCTGAAATATCTCATATTTACATGTTCATTTACCCTGACACATATGCTATTATAAATGTATCATCACAACAGGGACCTATGCAACCTTTCTCTGAACAGTGAGGCTGTGCATTTATATGGCTGTGGCTATACCACATGAGACAGGTTTGATGAGAGACTCTAAAAATGATAAATCCCTGATAAACCTTGCAGAAGTACCTAATACTGAAGGGTTTTCAAAACATATGGTACTGGGTCAATTTTTTCTCCAGACATAAGCTTACTATGCCCAGTATTATGCTGGCATAACACTGGATCTCAGACTGCCTCTGAGAGTAGTGGTAATGATTTCTGCTGTACTATTTTTACTTTGGTTTCAAACCAATCGATACAGCTGTAAGTTCTGTAAGGTCATATTGTATTGTTACTTTAAAAAGCATCAAAGCAATCGCATTGTGCTTGAGGGACAGCAGCACACATGCCATGCCAAGCTCAACAAGCTAAATGTCTTCTGTGTCATTTTAATGGCATCAACATATATTGTTTCCTGGAAATAAAAATTGTCTCACAGTAAAAATCACTGGTATTTGTTCTTAGAGGTTTGGGGGGGAGGGAAGAAACAACAGGAGGACAGGCAAAACAGGGGATCTTATTCTATCAATCCTGTTTTGCAGTGTTTGTTTTTCCTTTTACTCAGACATTGCTTTTTAATTTCCCTTCATAGGTACAATTATAGTAAACCCCTTAACTAAAAGACTGCAATTTACCTACTGACATGGCAGCAATGGTCCAGAAAAGGGACAGGCTTTCCTCCAAAATGCCTATCTGCCTCAGTGGACTAAGGGTAAAGCTACACATACCTATTTATGCAATTATATTACTGGGACTGTGCCTTCTCTCACAGTGCCTTTGCATGATACATACTGCTGTAGCTAGGACAGCATGCATGTTGCTGTCTTATGGACACAACCCTGCAGAGGACAAGAGCCTCACCACAACTCCTCAAGCATGAACATTTCATGCCTTATATCTAGCACAGTACATTAGTCTTTTATTTAAGATTGACTCTGTGGAGAACTGAAAGAGTCATAAAATGAAGTACAACGGTGAACCAGATCTGGCACTGACTTTAGATAAAATCACAGTGGCTTTCTTCCTGTTTCATAGATTTAATATTCATTAATACACATGCATAATACCAAATTGATTGCTTAGTAACACTGTAAATAAGAATGGCTGAAGGCTGATTTAATCCATGCTTTCTCCTCCTGAAGCCTCAGCAGCTGCTGGCAACAGAGATTGCCTCTATATCTGCACTCCCCGGTGTGCACCCACTGCTGTGATTGTCCCTTGACAAAGTCCTCTGAGCACAGCCCCAGTATCTGCTCCTGTTCCTGCCCCAGCAGCTGCCTCATGCCTACATCTAGTATCTGTTTAGTGAACTCCCCTTTGCCTTTGGATCTTAGGATCTGACCCTGAGTAGTTCTTAAACTGGTGAAGTGGGGAGGACATGAAACAAGGGAAAGGAAAAATGTTAAATGCTCTGCTCTGTCAAAAGGGAGATTTTTTTGCCAGCGCTGGGAAAGCCAAAAGCACCAAGCAATCTCAGGGATTGTTTCTCACTCCCCCTAGCACTCCTTTTTTCTGCCTTTGGATAAAGGCCAGTCATGCTTAGTGTATCTATTTTACAAAACAGCTAATCTTCTGCTAATGGCCTATCTAAAACACATAAAAAGTACACAAACAAAAATACTTCACGAAGTTGATGTCAATATAATTTGCCTAATCTCTCCATTTCTGTTGTAGACAAGCTAATTGCTTGCTTACATAGTTGGGCAAAATCTGAGGTCTTGCACAGCTGTCAGTAAGAAAACTACTCTTCAGTGTGTCAGCACCAGTGCTCATTGTTTGCTGAAGTTTACACAACGACCCCTGTGTTTTCAGGATATTTCGGAACATCTGACATTCAGATGTTGTCCCATGGCTTCCTTTCCTTTCCAGAAGCTTATAGACAAGCATGTATTCCTTAAAAAATGTTTTGGTCTGGGCTCCAACTGATCTGTAGTACCAGTAATGTGGTAGATGTTCAGTCTGACTTTAGTTTAAGTTAAATGTTAGTATCTTCAACTGCAGTCAGTTGTTCTGCTCCCACTCTCAGCTGCTCTTACCAGATTTTCTCCTGTGAGCAGCAATGTCTCTTTGAAGGTGGATATGTGTATAGGGTTGTAAAACTCTTATCAGTGGTTCTTTGGTTCCTATCTCTTCCCCACAACAAAATGTCTTGGAGATAAGTACTGTCTTGAACCAACATTAAGAAATAGAATGTGTGAAGGAAAGTCATAGCTGGGGGCTTAAAAAAAGGGTATCACAGTTAATTTGTCTAACAACAAGTTAAATAAAGGAGATGGAAACAGATGACATAGTTTGCTCCAGGCAGTTTTCATATTCAGTGTTGGCCCACAGCAACATATACAGCTCTGATGCTTTTCAGGAGAGTGGAGTTGCACGTTTTAGCCTGTCTAGCCAGTGACCCAATGAAGGATGAATACAATTTTGTGTTTCCCTTTGCAAAATGAAAATTTCAATAGCAGAAGCATCTTGCAAAGCTCATCTTTGTCATGTTTGTGAGGTATACCAAGATATTGGGAAAAAAATTAATGAAAACTGTTGTCAGTTTGGGAGTTATTCTACAAAGCTTTATCCATATTTTGGGGGGCTGTACTATGCCATGGGAGTTTATTATTGTGTTTGAGGTGAAAGCAGTGGCTTGAATGTCTTACTACAGCACAGGAAAAACTACAAAGACCAACGGACCAATCTGGAGCTTCTGCACATGAACCTTGTCCCTTTCCCAACTATTTTGTTAATTTAAGAATAAAGAATGTACTTCTACCTTAAAAATCTTGCTTCACAGTCTAATAAGCTTCGTTGCTATTTTCAGAGTCTGATATTTTAAACTAGAGAGACCACATCCTTTAGCTTAAATTAGAAGTTATGCCTGCAAACAGCTAAATCCCAGGGAATAAAGGGTAAAACTTCCTGGAGACAGTATAGTTGCAGAATTAGGTCCAAATCCTATTAATACATATGGAGTTACACAGTTTTACACAAGAGAGCAGACTCATTAGAGACAGTCCTTATGCACACCAGTTGCAAACTATTTTGATCTCTGCCAGGTCATGCTGAGCAGACAGAACATTGTAATACATAGTTAGGCAGCTATTACATGCTTCTCCTTATATTTCTGGTCCTACCATCACTTATCTTAGAGTTTGTCAGTTTTCCTGTATTCCGAGACACCAGAGGTCTGACCCTGGCAGGCAGCTAAGTTCAAAGAGCAACTAGCTGGTGCCTGTAGGAACTGAACTTATTAGTCAAGGTGTACTATACTCATCCTCATGCATCTCTAGGGCCAGGTCCCTGGGGCTGGAACATATATTTATACATAAGCCACGTGCACACAGAGAGAAAACGTCACACAGCTCTTACCGGTAGAGATGCTCTCCTTTCATTAAGGAGTCGTATCTGATGTTTCTTGTGGCCTCTACCCTCTTTCTTTTTCTCATCAATCAAGTTGTGGCCCCAGAAGCTGCTCATCCATTTTGCAAAGAAGATATCATCATCCTCTTCATATTCCATGTACAGGTACTCCAAACTTGGGGGGGTCTCCCAACCAGACAAGGAAAAGCAAGGTCAAATGCCACCACCAAACCAGTAGCCTCACACTGTTCTGCCAACAAGAGGAAGCAGAGACGCAGTTTCAACCTCTCTTTCTGCACTCCCTCCCCAAAATCCATCCTACTGCAGCCCTGGGCACTGTCTAAACATAAAGTCAATCCTTTCTCATTTCTTTTCAACAAGGTTTCTTTTAACCTTTCCATTGCAGCAATGTCCAATATGACACTGCCGCAGGGGGCTGGTAGGAGGGGTGTTGGCTGCTCCCTGTGTGTTGCTGTTGAGTGCACCAGCTGTCAATACCAATGGAGAATTGCCCACAGTTACATGCCTGGGAGGTTCGTACGCAGACCCAAAGTAGGCCTGTGATTTTGAGAAGCAGAATTGACGTATTGACAGTGGTCAGAAACTGGCATGGCTGCTTGCAGAGACCTAACTAGCTCTGTGGGAGGGAGCACTAATGGCCCATGCTTCCCATGTTGCTCTCCCTCCTGACTTCTGTTGCCTTTGGTGTTTAGGAAATGTGGTCTGTCTAGGTAGAAGAAAGCCCCCCATGAAGCAACTGCTTGTTCATTTTGAGGTTATAACTGGCAATGTGAACTTGCACCTGCTGCTTTTCACCAGAGTGATTTCATCTGCCATATCAGGGCTATGGGAGACCCTGCCTCACTTGAATGCATGCAGGGTAAAAATGTGTCAGATTCCTCTTCACCAGCCCTGGGTGTAAGTTATATAGGCCCTGCCTATATGACTATAAAACAGAATGGGGCCAGGGATTATTTTCTGGCCCTAGACCAAGTGGCTAGATGATCACATGTACCCTATATAGCATTTGTGCTGTGGGTCTCCTTGAGGCTGTATGTACTGCACTGTGGCTGTAACACGTTGTAATTTTTGTGTCTCTTTTATTACATAAAGCACAAAACCTCTGTTGTGGCCTATAAAACTATTGTTTGTAGGGTATGAAACTGGAAGATGTGTTACATGCCACAGGACATGGCAGAATAACAAGGAGGAGGGTGCTAAGACTGTAGAACCTGTTGGAATAGTGTTGGAAGACTGCATAGGAGGAAGAACCCAAATCTAACTTCTCATTGGAACTGTCCCTGGTGTGTGCTAGGTAGCTATTTGTTCTCCTGGTGGCTAGGCATTGATGTGGAGATGCTAGTTGGCTTTGGCCAGAAGTATGCCAAAAAGCCTGCTGGTAATGCAGCATGACAGAATATCAGTGGTCCATTATTAAACCTTACAATTTCCCCAAGCTATTTAGAAATACAGATGTAGTAACAAAACTCATACATGTGAGTGTAAGTGTGAGGTTCAAGTGCAATCTAGGACTCTTCATTCTGAGTAATATGAGTGAAGGAGCCAATTGGTCATAGGTGCCTAAGTGCACAAGTTTTACCTTGTCCAGGACAGACAAGACCATGATTAGCACAGGGACCTGGAGTACATGGATGTGCAGATGGTGTAGCCTCAGATGTTGTGTATTAGAGCTTGGAGAAACAACCACACCTGCAGCAGGCTGCTTTCCTGGCAGAGGAACAGGTGGATGGGAGCGGGAGGAACACCTGCAAAACAGTACAGTATAAAGACACCTGAAGCAATAAAAAGGATGTGTAGGCTGATTTTCCATGTGGGGAAGAACACTCTTGGCCGTGTTCTGCCAGCCTAAATTTGACTTACACCCTTGAGGCCACCCATCTCTACAGGCAAGGTACATCTGAAGGCCTGTGCTCGCTCATAGGAGGCATCGTGTGCGGGAATTGAGGCTGTCCCAGAAGGGAGCTATCAGCCCATTGGATATGTATCCTCTGTTGCATGGTTTCTTCTTTCTGACATGCAAGACAGAACTGTAGGCTGTAGTGTCAAACAGGAAATGCTTTTGCTGTGCTGAGACAGGTGGCATGGAAAAGCAGGAGAAAGGTTGTCCCACAGCTTTGTCAAAATATGCATACGCAAATAGTAAATCCACAAATTAAAGGACAAACTCAAGTTGTTTACTACCAGGCACTTGGATGTACTGACTCAGAGTGCAGCAGGGCAAATTTTAATTGGGCTCCTGAGGCATTCGCTTTGCAATCTTATTGTTGTTTTCTATTTTCAGTCCTTCATTCTTCAGTGCAATATGTGTCTTCTCACATTTCCCTCCCACCTACAATGAAACTTCTAGGCATGGCTTGACTAGAGTTATCTGAGTAAAAAAACACATCAAAGACAACTCCTCTTTATCCTCAGCTGAGTGCTCCAGGGAAATAACTGGAGACAGAAACATAACTGCCTACGGGTAAGGATAAGTAGATGCTAAGGATAAGATACTATGCTAAGTAGGCATAGACACATACATACACAACATGTACAAAATTCCAGTATTGCATAGTAATTATTTTTATGACAGATTCAATTAATAACTGGGAAAAAAAGATAGTATTTATAACAGGGTGTGCTTCAAAACACCCCAGTACAGAGATTTTGCATCAGCCAAGTTAGCTGAAACTTTGCGTGTTGGTAGTCCAGAACTCCTTCTGCAGCAGATTAACCTGGACCTGAGGATGCTGCAGCACTTTTGTGCCTGTGCTCAGCTCCTGTGTACCTGGAGTGATCCCAGAGCGATCCTGTGCTTGGAGTAACCCTGAGCCTGGAATGACCCTGTGCTCAGAGTGATTCTGAGCCCAGAGTGACCCTGAGCCCAGGGTGACCTTGAGCCTGGGGTGACCCTGTGCCCACAGTGATAGTGATCCCGGAGTGACCTTGATCCCAGGGTGACTCTGATCCTGCACTGATCCTGTGCCTCGAGTGACCCTGAACCTGGAGTGATCCTGAACCCAGGCTGACCCTGATCCCAGAGTGACCCTGTGCCTGGAGTGATCCTGATCCTGCAGTGATCCTGTGCCTGAAGTGACCCTGAACCCAGAGTGACCCTGTGCCCCTGGTGACCCTGATCCTGTGCCCTTGGTGACCCTGATCCTGAGCTGATCCTGATCCCAGGGTGACCCTGATCACGCAGTGTCCCTGATCCTGCAGTGACCCTGTGCCTGGAGTGACCCTGATCCCGAGATGACCCTGATCCCAGAGTGACCGTGATCCCAGGCTGACCCTGATCCCAGGGTGCCCCTGATCCTGCTGTGGCCCTGGTGCCCTTGGTGACCCTGATCCCAGGCTGACTCTGTGTCCAGAGTGACCCTGATCCCAGAGTGACCCTGTGCCCTTGGTGAGTCTGATCCCGGGGTGACCCTGTGCCTGGAGTGATCCTGATCCCGCAGTGATCCTGTGCCTGAAGTGACCCTGATCCCAGAGTGACCCTGTGCCCTTGGTGACCCTGATCCTGTGCCCTTGGTGACCCTGATCCCAGAGTGACCCTGATCCCGGGCTGACCGTGATCCCGGGGTGACCCTGATCCCAGAGTGACCCTGTGCTCAGAGTTGCCCTGTTCGCGGGGTGTCCCTGATCCCGCAGTGCCCCGTGCCTGTAGTGTCCCTGTTCGCGGGGTGTCCCTGATCCC